GGTGGCGTTATTAGTAAACTGGGAACGGAAAAACGATGACTTTGAAATGTTACAGTCTGCTGAAGAATGCAAAGGTGATGCAAAGGCCAATAGATGAATAGATAGTCGTGAAGTCATGTTTCAGTGGTTGAATGGAAACCAGTAATTCACCCTTCGTTCCACAGTGAAGAGACCAAACATCGTAGTCAAGCCCCCAGGGCGTCTTCAGGTGTACAGAGACTTCATCTTCCTGCTGACCTGCCAGGCTTCCGGTATGCCCCCACCGCGTCTGCTCTGGTACAAAGATGGCCGCCGTCTCGCCAGTGGGAATTCCCGCATCTCTGTGCTCTCCTCGGGTAGGTACAATCGGTATTTTTTAAAAAAGATATTTGTATTTAGACTCTCTTTCTGGTCTGACTTGACCCAGTAGCAGATCCAGGGTCTCAGCGGATTTGGTGTTCTGTTTTACAGATACAAGAAACTACTGGCTGTGTTCGTTGATGTGTAGAAAGGTGCGCGTGTGCGTGTGTATGTATGTGTGAGGGGGGACGAGATGGGGGGAGGGGGTTATTTGTTTGATTTTTTTAAGGGAGTTGGGTATTCATTACTTTTGACGCATGATCTGCAGAATTTGCAAAGCAGACAGGGTGAGCTAGGGAGTAACGGCAGAGATTACGTGGCTTTTAGTAGCCTAATTCTGAAAGGATATAGTCTTCTTTTATAACAGCTGTGTTGAACACAGAAAAAATCTGCTCTAGTGACCTTTATGGGTGCTTGAAGCAGTAAGCAGTATGCACAATTCCATAGCAATTTTGCTCTTTCTGTGGAGTAAAAGGAAAAAAATGCAGCTATTAGATAAGTGTTTAGTAAATGAGTCGTGTTCGTAATTTAGAGCCATATCTACCCTATCTCTTGACATTTTCCTTTCGGTCGCATGCCTTCTAAAGTGGCGGATTCAGGTGTCCCCAAATATGTGCAGTCTTGCCTCCATCCTTTTCCAGCTCTGTGTTTTCCCGCAGTTTGCGATCAACAAGATAAATGCACTGTGTTCCCTTAGTTTGTATCATGCTGAGGATAGGTGCGGATGACATCAGTTCGGACCCCAGAGGGATGTTTTTGAACTTGGGTTGTTCTTGTAGTTTTAAAGTCTCACCATCTTCTTGGCTTGGTATTTCGGAGATGGACCAATTCCCGCCTCTATCGTGACCTTTCAGTTTTGAAAAGGACGTAAAACTTGTAGGGTTGTCAGTAGCATGCTAGCAATCAGGCACTACGCAAGTCGTCATGAAAGTAACCTGATGTGTGTGTGTGAGGGGGGGGGGGGGCTGGGAGAGATACACCCTCCTCACCTCTCTCATTCCAGACCCCTCATCCCTCTCATTCATACCCACAGATCCCGCTCCATTCCCAAGCCTCCCCTTGTTCCAAGACCTCATCCCTACTCCTTTCAGCCTACCCTTCCACGAACCATTTCCCGTTCCTATGACCGACCGCCGTCTCACAGAGCACTATAAAGTTTGTAGTTTCAGAAACTTAAATTTTCTAAAATCTGAAATAATTTTTTAAGCAAACAAGATGTCTGCTTTTTACTAAATGGCCGCACTTTTGCACATTTTGATCGGGTTTTTTTTTAATCCCTAGATTCTAAAGGTAGGTACATGTAATTACTTTTTCTTGACTTAATTCACCAAATTCGAGGGACAAAGACAAAAATGAAAAAAAATTTCGAACGTGAAGGGCAGGGCAGTATTTTCTCCGCCAGATTAGCTCACCGTCGCTCACACTGTGGGACTGATTGTGTGGGTGGTTATTGGGCTGTCGGTTGAGAGGGGATAGCGACGTTACCAAACGCTTAAAACTACATTTCAAAAAGTAGCCTCCGATTCCAAGGAATTTGAATGCCAAAAATTTGAGATTTATGAAAGGCCGGAATGCGCCTTTGCTCCAAGACCTGCTCCATAAGTAACTCGATTCTCGGGCCTGGCAGTGAAGGGGTTATTTTGTCCCCATCATTCCTTCAAAATTTGCTATTCGTTTGTTACTTTTCCCGAAGTCGTATTTCATTTTTATCTAGAAACACCATTACGTTTGCTGCTAGGAGAGCGATCGGCAGCACGTCATCTTGGTATCAACTCAAACCTAAACAGCCCCGGCCATTATGCGAATTCTGCAAAATCGGGAGAGAGTCGGGCAAGTGTCCACCAACCATAAGAACACGTAGAGCAAACAGCACGTTTATGTTGCGCGGGTATTAGCATTATTTGACATCGTAAGCAGTAATCCTTTCAGTGAAAGTAATCTCGCGTTTCAGTAGTCTCGTCCCAAGAACTATTTAATTGGTCTGCATGCTAAAGCCCTGATAACAGGCGCATTTTCCTCTCGGCATAGATTAATGGTGTCCAGAAATGACGAAGATAACGGAGACTCCTTTGGATGATAAATATTACTACGGCACACTTTGGTTTTTCCTACGTTTGCTGTTCATAACCATTTCCTGTGTCCCTTTCCATCGCTTGCTCAC